TCCCAGTGACTGTTACTCACTACTACAGCTAGTAAAGCCTTTACTTTTCCAGTCCAGGCTGTGTTAGTCCCATAGAATTTGCACAGTTTGCTCTCTGGCGTGTGACAATTCCTGGGCCTCTGGGACATGAAGAAGCACTACTTGTCCAAACTGCTTGCTAGACCATTGTAATGTAGTCCATACTCATTCACTTGAGCAAGAATGTTATATGACTATTACTCTTCTATGTTACTTTAGAATGTGTCTCCAGAAAAGACACATTAACGAGTTCAATTTGTTTCATTCAACTTACTATACAGGAGAAGGTGATCCCCCAGTTTTAATCCCATGTTGGCCGAGATGCGATGAGCTCTAGTATTGGCCTCCCACCATACTTTCTTTCTCTTTGATCTTCTTTGGCTTATAATTTCAGCAAGCTTCTTCCATCATGAAAGAAATCTCTGTGGAGGACCCTACATTCTTTTCTGAACAGGTCTCCATTAGAGTCACAGTGGTTCACTTGACAAGTGTGTAGTCCTGCATTTGGTTGTTGGTCAAGTCCAAGACTTTTCTTTAATTCAATGAGATGTTATTTCCTAATATATATTAGTGAACTCAAGCGATGTGAAGTGGAGAGAGTAGTCACTGAACCCTTTATCCTGGCCATGGAGGTTGTTAGTAATCACAGAATAAAGTATTTAAAGTCTTCTCGTGTCCTTGAAGAACATTTTGATCATGACCATGTTAGGTTAGTCAAAGGAGTTCTAGCTAATATATGCAAATCAATAAATTCCCTGAGGCAGGGAGAAGAAATCTGCTCTAGCAACAGGGCAGGACACACAGAGGGCTGAGAGTCGTGCTGCTCATGCCAACCAGTCTGGAAAAATCACATCATTTATAAACCGTTAATGGAAAATTTGTAATGACCACCATCTAGTCAAAACATATGAAGCAGGTTGGGAAGTACGAAAGTGCAGCTACATTGAAGAGAATCATCAAGCAAGGGAAAGCCAACAGACCTGGAACGTGTGCTCGGATCAACAGAGGATATCAAAACGCTTATTTCAACTACATTTCATAAGGTCAAGCAACCATCTGGAGGAAGAGAAGGTGCAGAATACCAGGAGGAACAGGCCTAGTGTTCATGAAAGGGTGACAGTAGTTCACAGTGCTTCATGATACTTTGCAAAAGAACTACAAGAGCCTGAAGTTTCCCACCTGATACTTGTCTGAGGAGATAGAAATGTTAATTACCAGATCTCACCATCACTCATAGTAAAAATGTATCAAATTATCATAATATGTCCTATAAGTATACAGAAATATGTCAATTAAAAAATTTAAAGATCCAAACCTGTGTACATGCCCATCCACAAACATCCACATACACACACATACACACACACACACACACACACACACCACAATAAACAAATAAATAAGCAAATAAATGAACACATCTTAAGATTTTAAAAAAAGAAGACCCACTCGCTGGCATGCAATGATGCTACACAGAGGGCCTGATTTACATTCCCCTCATGATTAATGAGACTATTTTTTTCACATTTTTTTGCCATTTGTATTTCTTCTTTTGAGAAATGTCTGATTATATGATTTGTTCATTTTCAGTACAAGTGTTTAATTTTTTTCCTTATAATCCTTGGTTATTACTTATTTTTTAATTATTTATTTAATAACCACACGATTAGAAGCATTTCATGACAACAACATTGACATATTCAATAACAATTTCCATAGCAAAGATGCATCTTTTTCAAAATTGGCTGTAGATTTTTAGGTTCAGAGTTGAATTAATACAGTTATACAATATTGCACTCAGTATAAACCCTACAAGATATAAAACTGAATGAGGTTTTAACTTTAAAAACGTTCTTACATCAATGCTCAGGTGCCAAGGATCTCAGAAAGTAACTGACTGTGACTAGTAACAATCAGATATATAGAGATTAGAGATGCATGTGCAAACACCCAAGTATTAGTTGCTTTAAAAATGAGTTTTTCTGTATGAAACAGTATGTTTTAAAATGAAACGATTATTACTTATTTGTCAGATGAGTGTTTTGGAATGTTTTCTCCTGTTCTGCTGCTGAAAAATATTCTCAAAGAATATCAAATGATTCGCTGAAAAAGGGTACATTTTCTTATATGTAACTAATACTCTAAGAGCAGTATTGCTACTTTTATAATAATGTGTTCTTATTGTAACAAATTAGGGCATAGAAATATACTTTATAAGTTGAGCATTCCCACCCCAAGCCAGTCTCCTGAAGTAAGTAAGCAATAGAGGAAAGACTCATCTCTGTTGGCCTCTCTGATGCCCCTTTCCCTGTCCTGGACCACGTTTGTGCTCATCGAGGGCCCTTCTGATCCCTCTTATTCAGATGGCCTATAACCACCACTTCTCTCTTCAGGACCCTGTCTACATTCTTTTCTTATTTTGCTCAATAGAATTCTATTGCTTTTTCTTCCACTTGTTCATTCCCTTTATGTCATCACTAACTCTTTCTGAATGTTCTCAAATACCGTTTCTTCAATGTCCCAAAGAAATTCAATGACCATGCCCTCTGCCCATACCTGTAGTCGCTTCTTCCCTATTGAACACCCCTGCAAAGGGGAAGTAAATACAGAATATGGTGGTCAAAGACGAGGAATGTTCTTTAATATTTACAGATCTGCTGTTAAGGAGAAATAGCACTGTCAGTTAGACAAGAGCAAACTCTGTACCTAGGGCAAGTTTGTGCCTCCTTGAAGCAAGCGTTTCTTTCACCTGAGAGAAAATGATCTAGTTAACAATACAGCACATCACGTATAGTCTGTAAAGGTGGCTGAACAACGCACATCTGTGCTCTGGTGTGATCCTCCTTTGACTTCCACAGTTAACAGTCCAGGACAGTTTCTCTCCAGCCCCATCATTTCCTGCTAGACTGTGAAAAGAACCTCTTAGTTGAACTCATAGCTGCAATCTCCAGATGTTCAATCTCAGTCTTTTCCTTGACTTGGCAAAGAAAAATCATTTTTAGAAAAGTAGTAATGATGGAAAATTGAATGAGCCCTTCCTTAACAGAACTTTAGACAGCAGCTCATCAGGCCTCTGTCCTACTTGAACTTGATAGGTTGACCTACTATCTAACTTTCACTTCATCCCAGTGTTCAACATGCAGTGCACTCCCCCCAGTTCCTACACTGCGAGGAAAATCTCCAGTCCTTACTCAAGTGTCAGACAAAGCACTCGCTCTTGTTTCAATGAAGTGTTTCTGAAATTTCTTCTCACGGCAGCCCGAGAGTAACTCCCTTTCCCTTCTGTTCCTTTTGCAATCTTCTGCCATATCACCTATAAAATATCTTTGCTTTATTTAATTCAATGTCTTTTATGTAATTCTCAAATCCAAAGTTCAGCACAAGATTTCTCAATCTTGGCACTATGGACATTTTGGAGCAGATGCTTCTACAGTGAGGGCTTTCCAGTGCATTGTGGGATTTTTTTTTTTTTTTTTTTTTAGCATCCTCCTGTCACCTCCATCACAAAAATCCAGAACCACCAATGCTGAGCCAGGGAGATGGCTCAATTGGTCTAAGTGTTTGCTGTACAAGCCTGGCAATCTGAGTTTGAGTACTAGAGCCCATGGACAGAAGCTGACTCCTGAAAGCTGTCCTCTGATGTGCATGCATCTCCAGATACAGCATACACGTGAAATAATAACTAATTAAAGAATTGTCAATGCCTCCCTGTGGGCAAAAGGAGCTCTATTTGGAAGCAGTTTGCTTAATCCACATCTGGCCATGTGAAAACACATGGACTCCATAAAACATAGGTTTTAACCATGATCAGCAATGGCAAGAAATGGAATAAATCAACATATCATCCTATGTTTATTCCCAACAGTAATGCACTGGGTAGGAAGTGGGCTAAGAAACAAGGTCACAATATGAGGACTGTGGAGACAAAAACTAAAGTCTCTGTGGAGAAGAGCAGAGCAGAAACAGGAGTGTGGCCTCTCCTCTCTTCCAGTCCAGCTACTCAGCAGATGGGCCAGACTTTCAACCTCACTCTTTATGCTTAACCCAGAAAGGTGTTGTCTTTATTCCCCAATAGCAACACAATCAGAGCTAAGCACTGCTCTAAATGCAAACAGACTTCACTGGTTCATCAAGGTGCACAATAACTTTGTATTTTCCCAGAACTGATTGCCGGCCTCAGAGAACAGAAAAGAGATGATGAACTCTCCACCTTAATGGACCAAAATGAGCTGGAACTTCTTCTCTTCCCCTTTGTGGCTGTGAACGCCAAGCTTTGGAAGACACGCACAGAAGCAAACACAGCTGTTTTTGCATCCTAATGGGTTGGGTTTTTTTAGGGCAGGTCAAATATATTTTTGCACTGAAATAAAGAACATGTGAGCATCATAATGGAAATGCAGAAATCATAAATAGCAACGCCAAAGCCAGCGCAGCGGCAGGCACAAAAGATCAGCAAAGTAGACCGAGTGTTAAAAATAAAGTAGGTTCTGAAGTGACACACTGAATATAGGAATCTTTCCTTTTGTTTTTTAAAGCCACTGTAATAAATGACAGTAATAGCAACTTTGGCAGGCTGCTCAAAGCTGGGCATCTAAAGAGAAGTGATTCTCTCTTCTCTAACAAAAATAATATTAAAATGAAACCAGGGTATTTATTTCCCTTTTTAACACAGCAGGGATCACTTAGAGCAAATGAGTCTAACAACACTGTACTCCAGATGCACTGGGGCTTCTCTGGATGACCGTCATCATCAAGCACGGGATGAATGCATGGATCGTCTAACCACACCTGCCAAGTCTACCCCTGCCCTTCCACCTGCAAAGCACTGAGCTTTTTTTCTTCTGAAAGTTTTTAAGGTAAGATTAAACAGAGCATTCGTTTCCACAATTTCTTGCCTCACCCTACGCTATCCCCAAGCCAGAGAGAAAGGGATGGACCTAAATGCTGCACTGTGATTAGAGGCCAGATGTGGAAAGACTCACCAATTCAACCGTTTGTTTTTTTCAGCACCTCCATTATGTAGAGTTTATATCAGTTCCTGTGAAATAAAAATAAACTAAATAAACATTTTTCTTGCACTCACAAAATATGAAAGCAGACCACAAACTCAGGAAGCAATCATATGTTTACCAAGTAGGCTGCTGATATCAGAGATCAAGGCCGGGAGTCCTGGATCTTCAAGGGGCTCAATCAATGAAGGTTTTCAAGAGGAATGTTTAATTGTTGAAGTGCATGACAGGGACACTTAAAGGTGGAACAGGCCCTTATCAATCTGAGAGAAACTAGATTTGAAGCACTACAAGCCATGGGGGTGAATTCAAGGGCACCAATATGGCTTCCCTTGTAGCCTTGAGCAAGTGGCCCAATCTCCAACTCATTTTTCTTATTTATGAAATACTGTAACACTGATTCCTTTTTCATAGATTTTTGGTATATTTTAGGTGAGGTAATTCACCTTGTGTGTGAATAAGCAATGGAGATGTTATTACAGCTATTGCAATGACTTCAGAGCAGCGAACTTTAAATGACTGGACAGAGGAAAAATGCTCCAAGTTGATCAAAAATGCTTTCTGTTGATGCTAGCTAGGACTGAGGGTGAACTGGTTTTCTTCTTGAGAATATTCTGCATATTTTATGCTTACCATAATGAGCATATGCTATTTTATAATCAGTAAAACATCAGCATTTAAGGCATATTTTAAATTTAAATTTATTGAATGAATTATTTGGCAAGATAACAAATGTTAATACAACTCACATAATCAAGTGACTTTTGAATGTACAAAGTTATGATTACGTTGAATACTGAAAATTGTGCCAAACATGTCCTAGCTCACATACAGAAATGGAAAAGTGTATTTTTCGTTCTTGGGAAAGTAACTTGTGAATAAATGTGTCCTTCACTCTATCTCTACTAACATAGTCCATGTGACTTGCTATGCAGCTAGATGAAAGGCAAACCGGAGCTCCACCAGCTAGAGAATCAGAGCTATGAACTAAAGCTGAGTTTCAATCCCAGCTAAGGCCCAGCAGGCACTCACCGACTGCCTACTCTGTGATGGGCATTTTCTGGGCACAGGGACTGTCATGGTGAAAAAACAGCAAATGTGTACTTTAGGATATGGCTGTTAACTATACATCCCTGTCTCCTTTCTTCAACTAGGCTAGATTGAATCAAATGAGAACATATTGCATGTCCCATGTAAAACAAGTACACAGACCTTTCTTTGCGGGTATTTTCCTCTAGTATTCATATGTATCAGGTCTCCCATTTTTAAAATAATAACACAGTAACAATACTAATACTTCCTTAAATCCACATCCTTTCCAGTTAGTAATTCATTTTTCTCCCACAGTTTTTGCCTTTGCTGCTGGGAAGAAATGTGCAGTTACTGTCTTCATCTCTTCCCCTTTTTTTTCTCTATTCAATCTGCTCCAATAAGCTTTGATCCAGAAACTGATTTTGTCAACAGGGCCACAGATAGCAAACACAAGAACGATACTCCTCCGGAATGATGAAGTAAAAACAGCTGTGTTTTCCAAGTAGCTAAAGCAATTTACCAGCTACACTCACAACAGCTGTGCTCCAAGTCACTCTAGCAGACTGTAGGGAGACTACTCCACTGCTCCCCACTCCCATTCAAGGGGCTCCTTCCCACAAGGATAACCCCACATCCAGTGTCATCACTATCACCAGTAACCTCGGCAGGGTCAAGGCAATGCCAATCTTCAGTTTTCATTTTGCATTGCAAAATCATGAAGGCAATATCTGTTTTCTTTTTTTCTCCTCTCTGGTTCCTCTTTGTCCTTTTGAACACTGAAGTTGCTTTAGACACTAAACCTTAAATATATTCTAGCTTTTCTCTGCACCTGAAAGTTAGCATGCCCAAGACTGAGATCTTCATCCCCTCTCCACTGAAGCCTGTTCCTCCTGCTGTTAAGATCATTGAGGCCCAAACCTTGGAGCTACTCAGTATTCCTACTTCCTTTCTTACCCACACCCACTAGCATGCTATACTTACTGGTATCACCTCAGTAGTGAAAGAATTCGACAATGTCTCACCACCTCCATCACACACAGTGTCTATGCTACCACCATCAATCATATTCCAGTTGCTTCCTGACTGTTGAATCTGCTTCTGTTCTGGTCCCTTTCAGTCTGTCTTCCACATGAGTCAGCATGCTTCTGTTACAAACTTGCCTACTTGAAGTTGTCCAGTGGAATCCTCTAGAACTCAGGAAAAGCCAGTAAAGCTGGGTATCTCCCACAAGTTTCCCACTGCACCTGGCCTGTGTCGCCTTTCAACTCTTAACACCTGCTCCCAACACACACACGCACACACACACATACACACGCGCATGCATGCACATACACATGTGTGACCATATATAAGAATGAAAGAGAGAGAGGAGAAAGATTTGTTTGATTTCTACACTTACCAGTTCACACCAAGCATACTTCAATTGTTTTTCCCTCTGTTCCTAATGCTGAAATATGTTTTCCCCTAGAAAGTATCCTGGGTTGTTCCTTTATTTTCTTAAATATCACCCTCTCAGTGATGCCTATCTAATTTCCATATTTTAAATCTTAGCCCTGTGTTTTGCTTTTCAATCATATTATTCAATAATATAAAACACAATTTACTTGTAATCAGAATGACAGTTAGTAGGTTGTCAATACATAGTTATTGAAAATTAGTAATTATTAATTACATAATAATATGTTTACAACACTTGAATGAAGATATTGTAGTCATTAATACTGGCACCACCTTTTACTGAGGTCTATCTGAACCCTGAAAACTGAAAAGGGGACGATGAATATGGTGGTGTGGGGTGGTCCAGACATCTCTCTACACCAGGCCAAGCGCCTACAGTAACTTGGCAGAACGTATGAGCTGGAAAAGTAAAATGATAGCAATTCCCATATATTAAATTTACCTCATTTTTACTTCTTTTATTCCTAAACAAATGAGACTCAAGAGACAGTAAGAAATACTCCCGAAGAGATACATGAAATAAGCTATACAAGACTTCAAACGTGATGGTTTAAAAGCACAGTTGTGAAATATGCATATATGAACAAGCTGAGTGGCACTGCTGTCACCACAATCCTACTCTGCAGCCTTTGCCAGTCCCGTGTGATCGTTTGACCAGTCAGTCTGCATCAATGCAGTAGGACCTGAGAAATGAAACTCTCTGAGTGACTCCTTTGGCGTGAAGCTCATTTTGAGATGACAAACCACATAATTTCAGCTTCCAGGATTGCCTAGTCACACTACACAAGACACCAGCCTAAGAGAACATTAGCCCCCCTGTAGATTTCACACAACTGACAACAGGGCTGTCAGTCTCCAACACATGGATGCAATTTGCAAAGGAACTCAGTCTACCTAAACTCTCCATACAGACAAATGTTTACATAAGCCAGTATGTATAAGGAATGATGACAGTTAAAAAGGAACGACTATCGTTCTAGCCAAGGAACATTACAAGCTACGTGATGAGAAATTTTCTTTTTTGGTCTTTTTTCAGACAGGGTCTCCCTGTAGCCCCAGCTGGCCCGGAACTCACTGTGTAGACCAGGCTGGCTTTGAACTCACAGAGATCCACCTGTTTCTGCCTCCCAAGTGCTGGGATTAAAGGCATGCACCACCATGCCCAGCTATTTTCTCATTTTTATCTTTAAAAAATTAGCTGGGTGTGGTGGTACAGACCTATAAACAACAACTAGGAGACTGAGGTAGGAAGATGTTGAGTTTGAGGCCAGCCTGAGCTACGTAGCAAGTATCAGATCAATCAGGGATATATAATTGGGCTGGTGAAATAGCTCAGTAGGTAAAGGTGCTTGCTGCCAGCCTGACAGCTTGAGTTCAACCTCTGTCTGTCTCTCTCTCTCCCCCTCCCTCCCTCCCTTCTTCTTTCTCTCTCAGGTTTTACCGTGTAGCTCAGTCTGGCCTTGAACTCATTCACTATGTAATATAACCACAGCTGACCTAAAACTTCCAATACTCTAGCTTCAGCTACTTGCATGCTGGGATGACACGTATGTGCCCCCATGGCTGTCAAGCTCATCTTCATGAGGGTGTCTGTCCTAGTTTGCTTGCAACTGTTGTGACAAAACACTCTGACCAAAAACAATTTGTGGAGGAAAGGGTTTATTTTATCTTCCAGGTCACAGATCTTCACTGAAGGAGCCCAAGGTGGGAACTCAAGGCAGGAACCTGGAGCACAGACCACAGAGGAATGCTGCTTACTAGCTTCCTCCTCAGGCCTGTGCTCAGCCTGCTTTCTTATACAACATAGGCCCACCTGCCCAGGGGTGGCACTTCCAACAGTGGGCTGGGCCAACCCACATCACTCAACAATCAAGAAAATGCCGCCCCACAGACGTGGCCACAGGCCAGTCCAGTGGAGGGAATTCCTCCACTGAGGCTCCTTCAACCCAGATGTGTCAAATTGCCAACTAGCATTGTCCAGCACAGCATCTATGGGTATGTGGTGTGGTGTGTCCACCGGTGAGTGACAGACCAATCTTTCCTCAGCCATGCTGGTTATCCATGCTGCTCACATAACTCCATATGTACCTTATCCTTTACACATTCTCTCCCATCCAACACATTTCATACAACTATTCTACGCTCCTCACCCTAAAGGAACATATGATCTTCTGGATGCCAGCATTTTAAACATAGGTTGTAGGAAGTGAGGGGTACTGACTCAGGTGCACTCTCTGCCTGGAGCTTTCCCAAAGCTGCCTCAATTCTACTCAACTTTGTCTGCTACATAAGAGTTCCATGTTCTATACCTAATAGCAATGTTCTACAGCATACGAACTCACTGTGTAGACCAGGCTGGCTTTGAACTCACAGAGATCCACCTGTTTCTGCCTCCCAAGTGCTGGGATTGAAGATGTGCACCACCATACCGGGCAATGATGAGAAATTTTAATGATGTGGAAAATTGTCTACTATGCTAAAAAATACCTGAAAGGACGGGGA